ATTTGCTATGTTCTTATCACAATCACCAACCTAGCTCAATGTGAATCATGCATCAATAACTGAGTGCTAAGCATGTGCTTGCAATAGCAATTCTTTAAGTCAACAAAGCTTTTCTTGATAGAAAGGTTTTTATTTTTATATATCATTAAGATCAAGATTTCCCTAATTAATTTACTTTATACCTTATGCATGCTTTCCCTCCATAACAATAATTCATCAATTTAAAGCAATGATGCTATACTGTTTGTATTTCACCTTTGCCAAAACTTATAATATATATATATATATACATACATATGTGTGTGTGTGTGCTTCTTATCCCCCACACCAAATATTCCGATGTCCTTATTTTTTGTTGGGTGGGTTAAATAAGGAAAAATTTGAAGTACCTGCAAGCACACAAAACTATTTCAACAGTCGGCATGGCAGCTGGTGGCCTCACAAACGATTCCTGATAAGATGTATCATATTGATATGAGCATTTGGGCCTTGCTATTCCCTCCAATTGGCTTCAAGAATAGACAAACCTGCAACTGAACCTGCTAAAATTCTGCTCCATCATCACCTTTAGCAAAGTCATATATGTGAAATAGATACATTGGGATCAAATATTTTTACAGAAGTAGATAAATTTATTTTACTCTATGCTTGAACTCAGGAATATAAACCTTTATCAACTAAAGACATGTATAGACAAGAAAACCTTTATCACTTATTACACAGTAAATCCTCCAAAAAGTAAACCAATCCGGCGAGCCTCCTCTTTCACTATCAAGTCCTTCTTGGATACAAGCTGCTGCACATATCTGAACTACTTACTACAAAGAAAATGATTCAAAGAAAGTTCCATAGGAATGAATTGATGGAAAGTAAACAAGTGCAAACAAAATGAGAATTGAGGAAAGGAAAGCAACATTATCATCTTTGATGACAGTTAAAACCAATGAATCTTTTGGTTTGAAGCAGCTTGATTTTCATCCATATAACTGCAACTTTCATCATCTTGGAGACAGAGAAGTTCATTTTTTTTTATAATATTTGTATTTTCATCATCTGTGGGCCCAATGCTGCCCATTATGGCTTACCGTAGTTTTTAGTGGCAACTTTCAAGCTACTTTGCATATACTGGAAGCACAACACTTATCATGTAAACATTTGATGCTACAGCCTACAAACAAACACAAGAAAGAAAAACTTTACACACACACACACACATATATATATATATATACACCTTGTCATAACACTGGAAGGCTCCAGTTCCGGTGAATTTCCATATTCCGTCTTTCACTGAAAAGATGGGTATCCAAGTTCTCTGGCTCGACCCATTCCAACTTGAATTTCCTATATAAACATAGAATCCCTACATGCCAAATTGAAATATATAATAGCCAAAAATATAAATCATCATGCACCCTGTATATGCTTGTATCCCACAAACAACTCAAGTTTAGAATATTTGGGCACTTGAAATCTGAATTTCAAAAACAAGGGGTCGTTTACTAAACGGTTACCCCGTAAGTGTTTACTGGGTAATTTTTCTTACCGCATGAACATGGTAAGGGTCAAAAGTCTTACTCGGTAAGCGAGGGTGACAACTCTTACCCGGGTAAGCGCTTACCGGGTAAATTGTTGATATGATACCATTTTGATGTACTACAATCTTACCC